CTGTATCAATGGATCACAACAAAAAAAGATTAAAAAGGAATAACAAGGCTTCCCGAAGGTTTAGTTTGTTTCAACAAATATATTTGGATGTGAAATTGGTTTGAATTTTGGAGGTGTGTTTTTAATATGATGTTAATGTAAACTTTTATTAATTTCAATTACAAATCTTAAATGTTTGAATTTGTGTTATGATCGGTGATCTTAGCAAAATAAGTGTTGAATGGGTTGGATGTCGTCCTAGTTATTAATATTTAAATAGCTATGAAAATAACTTATTATGATTTTGACATAAACTCAATCATCTATTTCAGATTAATAGTAGCACTACAGGAGAAAACACGTTAAAACCGATGAAAGAACCTACGACTTCTTACACCTCGGAAAGATTATTTTAATTACAGTTTGGCGACAGTTTTTTACCTTAGTAATTTTCGATGACATAACGACAATATAAAATGTCGCTTATCAATAATATTTTGTTTTTCGACTATTTCTAACTATAACCGACGGAATAACCCATCAATTATAAACAAATATTAATTGACGGCTATAGTGCGTCGGTTATCTTCGAACCCGCCATCTGGCGAGGTTTTAACTGACACATTTTATTATTAAGCGACGAATCAGTAATAATTTTAATAATCGACATAAAAAGTTGTTGATAGACCGTCAGAACAAATCTTATATCTAACCCAATTTCACCTCCCTCTCGGTATTTCCCTAATTTCTCTCACGGTTCTTCTCCATCCAAAGCCCTTGCCTCTCCCCAAAATCCTCTACCCAAAGCCCTCGTCTTCTCCCCGAAACCAGCGTCTTTGTCCCCAGCTCTGAATCCCTCATGGTACAGTCAGAATAAAAGATAGCTGGGAACGCAGCGGTGGGATTGCAACTTACAGTAACCAAAAACTCCCATTTTTCTCCTCCTTTCGCTTCTCTACTACTCGAAATGATCGAGGAAGGTAACTTATTATCTTCATTTTTTGATTTTATTTTCATTTGCTTTGAGAATGCATTTAGAGTTTAGGGTTTAGCAATTATGAGGTTTGTCAAATAATATTTTATTTCAATTGGATTACATCTAAGACTGTGAGTTTAGGTCGAACATCATTAATCACTCAAAGATTGATTCCAATTTTGGCTCAGATTGAGATCAGATCAAAATAAACGAGCTGAGATATAAGCCAAAATTTAGTATCGAAATTATTTCGAGTCGATTTTAAGCTGACCCCAGATTGGCTCAAAATCGGATCGTTAACAACATATAACTGTGAATTTAGTTAATTTAGCTCGAAGTTCATTAATCGCTCAAAAAAGTGATTTGAATTTTGAATCAGATCGAGATCAGATCAAATAACGAGCCGATCTACGAGTCAAAATTCGGATCGAATATTTTTTGAGCCGAATTTGAGCAACCTCAACTCGGCTCAAAACCGGATTGTTACATCAGGGATAGACTTTAATCACATATATTTTTGTCTTAGTTATGGATGCTCTTACTAGACATTTATAGGATGATTGACCAAAGAAAAAATATGTTGAGATTTTCATACCTATTTTATACTGTTTTTTATGATATTGCAGACTCTGAAAGGGTTGTTGTAGCTACAGTGACAACCAATATTAAGAAAATATATGGATAAATGTTCGTCGACAATCGGTCTTCGACAACTCTAACAACCTCAGCAGGCTGTTAATGTTTTGCTTCAAAGCTATCTAAAACTTTCACTCCTTTTAAAATGTGTTGATTATTGTCAGGTTTCATCACCTTTTGTTATCAATCAGCTGATTGCATTTCATAATGTGTTTATTATTCTCATGTTTAACAGTATTACGATCCACGAGCATGACTCTTTCGAGTACGACCTGTGGAGGGACACTGCTAGAGGGGAGAAGAAGGGTCGAGTATACGTGCTCGGGTCACAGAGGTTTGCTTACGACACTCCCCCTTCCACCAGTGCATCTGCAACTTTTATCTCTATCACACATGATGAGGAGATCTCCATGTGTGTTGTGACATTCTCTGCCGAGATAAAGGTCCTCTTTTCTCAGATGAGGTCGGAGCTGGAGGCCAACATGGAGACCAATCTAAAAACTGAGTTGGATTTCTTCCAGCAGCAAATAAGTGAGCGCGACAAGGCAGCGACAACATTGGAAAAAGAGGAAGGAGCGGAGGACGACGAGGATGAGGTTAACGAGATAGAAGAGGATGATTAGGAGGGTTTTTTTTTTCATTTTTTCTTATGTTTATGTACATTTAGACATATAGTTTTTCTGTGAACAGTAATGAAAATATTTTAGAGTAGATGAATTTTATTTATTTCATTATTTGATTGGATAAATTACTGTTCGACAACTATGTTATTTCGTTAAATGCTTGGAATTGTATATTAAATGTTGTGATAGTAGGTGTAGTAATATAAATATAAAAGAAAGAATTTATTTATTTTTCCTTATCCTACAGATTTCTGATGGTTTTCATCGGTTATGCAATGTTTTAAAACTTATTCCTAGGTGAAACCAATGACTAACTAATGTACATTTTTGCCGACGTCTAATCGACACAAAACCGTTGTTCAAGGCACGTCACACAAAAACGATGGTCGCGAAGCTTTTCTGACATTTAACCCGTCAGTTATAAGAAAATGATGCATAAAACGACATTTAACCGACAGTTTTCTCTGCTTCAAAACACTGACTGGTGCGACACTTTTCTGATGTATATGTCGTCGCTTGTACAGATGAGAAAACTATCAGTTATCTAAACTGATGATTACCGCGACTCGATATTTTTCAAAAAAAATCTACGACGTTAAATTGTCAGATAATCATCGGTAAATTTATACAATAAGAATATTACCTAGTTTATTGAATTACCGATAAACGTTTTACATACGAGGCTAAAACCGTCGGTATATCGTCAGTAACATTAAAAGCGGTGGTTTTCTTTATCATAACTGACGGATCATGGCTATCGAAAAAAACTTAAATTTTTGTAGTGTAGAACTTATCTCAAATTCATCAATATAGATTTGTTCACTCAATCCATATCTCCAAAAATAATAAACTTATGCTTTAAATCCTCTATTAATTCATTTTTCACGCCGTACCAAGATGGCTCAATATGGATTAATTCAAAGACACTGTGATTTGTGCCTCTACGCTACAATATATATATATATATATATATATAATTTCTTCAAGAGAGTATTTTTGTTTAATATAACATTCAAAGGTGATATTATTCATTTACCCTAAGCTTTGTAAAGGTACCGTAATTTTTATCATGAGTGCTTATAAATATCAGTCTAATCAGGGGGACTTCTTCACTATATATATGTTTCTCACTTTTAGGCTCAATTAATTCATCAAGTTGGAAAGCTTTTAAATTTATTTGGTCCATTGTTTAGTTGGATGAAATGTTGATCGAATTTGAGCTATGAAAACAACTTTTTTATAATTACAAAAAACAAGGCTATTTCTATTAGCCCTCTCAAATTCCATATCTATATAAGTCTTATGCATTGAATTTCTTCTAAAGGTTGTTCGAGTGTTGTTAGAAATTTACATTGATTTTAAATTTTATAAAAAAAGCTTTCATATGTAATGATGCTTATATTTTCATACCTAAATACAAAAAACTATAATTATTATTCTACAAATGAACTTAATCTCTACGATGAGAAACATAAGGAAAGGGATTTACTTCCAAGGACAAGAAGGATATGAAGTGAAGGCACAAGCAAATAAGGCAAGAGAAAATAAGGGTGAAATTCAAAAAAAAAAAATTCTATTTTATTCATAATGAGAGTAAAATTTGATTATTGTATATAGTAGATTATTTGTGATGATTTAAATTCTAGTGCAAGGAGGCTACAAAGAGAAAAAGACAAAATTAAGTGAACAAGAGGAGACACAAAAGAAAGGGGGAAATGAAAACATCAACAGAGCTTCTAAAAGTGGAAGAGTCCAAAATTTTGATTTTTTTCTAATGTTTTAAGAATTCTAACAGCATCTTGTCTTATCATTCCATTGAATTTTTTCTTTACAAAGAGTGAGTTGTATTTTGTGTGTTGTGGGGATCCTCCTGCCGCCATTTGTAATTTTTATTTTGGATGAATAAAAAATTCCCTCCAGGGTTCCATACAAAAAAAAACCTTAGTAAGTGTATCATTCCTCTTGTCAATGTCAATCCATCTTTTAATCCCAAAAATCTTATATTTTACAAAGTTTAATCTTATTTGATTTTGTATTATAAACGGTCGCCATAGATTTTTCTTCATGAGTAATTTTAATCTAGCTAGCAACCTTAAAGTTCACTCAGAATTAATAATAAAGACAACTTTAATTTCTAGAACATATTGTAAACGTAGCAGATTGAAGAGGAAATTCATACATAATAAAATTTAGTTCGAATTAATAATTTATAATCTATCATCAGAAAATCTACTAAATTTAAAATGAGATTGGGGAGTTTAATGTTATTCTTAGTGATTTATGTATTTATAAATCTTTGGAGTATATCATGATAAATTTAAGCAATCAACATCATTCACCAAAAAAAAATAATTTTTTTTTTGTCATTTTCTTAATAATTTTATTATATATGTTAGCACAATTATGAAATAAAATTTTTGACATACATAATGTTTCATGTTAGAAATTCTTTTTTTAATCCATGCATGTTAATATAACTAGCAATTAAATGACATAACAACCCTCCATATTAGTATTCTTTTATAAAATTGCATAAACATCTTGTAGTTTATATAGATATCATACTTTTATTAATCAGTATGCATACATTGTCATGAAAAACATTTTGCCTTATAATGGCGGCCATACTGCTGCCTGCCCTCTTGATTCTCTAGAAATCACAATTCTTTATCCTCCCCCGTCTCTTATCTCTTGGAAAGCATGTCCTTGTTCTTACATGAAATATATTCTCAACCATTAGTAACATGAAGGCATCTTAATGGTGGAGATAAAAGACAAGTTGCGCCATTTGAACTTCCATCACATCTTTCAACTTAAGAAGCAATCCACATAAAAATAGAGAAAAATAAAATACAAACAAACCAACAAAAAAGAAACAAACACTCACATCAACTTTCAACAAAGTAAGAGACGCATGCAAGCTTAATACCTCATCACTGCATTGTGCTAGTAACTAGTACAAAGGTCTAAAACCCTAATTGAAATAACATTTTAGTTGATTGAGCTCACTTTATTCACTGCTGAATACTCAGACATTCTCGGAGGTTGATGATGGCAGCAGAGGCTGGTTCAAAGAAGCAGCTTTGTAAGCAGCAGGCGCAGATGGTCTTATGACATCATGTTCTTCTGCGGCCGATAGCAAATGGTTTGCTTCTTTTGCAACAATGGATTTTTCCTCACTTTTCCCCCAAAGAACAAGGTAAAGGCCGATGATGATGAAGACAGCACCAATAATACTGCAAAAAAATTAATAAAACAGGATAAACTATCATGTGTAGTATGTTTGATGTTTCATACAAAATAATAAGTTATTTTGTATTAATTTCGATTACCCTCCCAAATAGAATTCTTCTCCTAGAGCAATGGAAGCCATTATAGCTACAACAAAGGTCTGAACTGGTTGATAGACTGCAACAAAGACAGGGCCACCCCTATCAATGCACCAGATTTGAATTGCAAATGCAATTCCAGATGCAACACAACCCTGATGGAAGCAGAAGGAACAATTATTTAATTAATAGTTTTTGATCATTTGTATGTCGGACCAACTAAAAACAAATTAAATTGCATGAAAATGTGTTTTAATCTACAAAAATATGCTATATATGTTAAACATTTTAACTGTTTTTTTCTTTTACCAACAAATTTAGTTACTTCAAAAGGTGTTGGAGTTGGAAAGCACAATAACATTTTATAACCATGCAAACAATATCACAATGGGATAAAGTGCTCCATCAGATCTACTTCTAATTTGAATTTATTTAATTAGATGGTTAAAAAATCACTTTCAAAGTTTCTACAGTAAAATTATAGCAAATTAATAAAGAAGGGTCACATTTCTTATCTTACTATTAAAACAACTATTTTTTTTGAGAATTCTATCTTAAAAACCAACTGAAATAACTACAACTCAAGCAATATAACTTTAGAATGGCTATTAGTGCTCATTCAAAGCAAATAAATAAATAATCATATAAATCTCAAAAAAGGGATACAAATCATACAAATATCTCGTGTCGAACGTATAATAACCTAAAAAATTTTTTTTAAGGTCTGAATTACAAAAGCAAAATAACAATGATCAAATTGTCAAACACTCCAAAACTCCAACTTTTAAAGAAACTAACCCAACAGAGACCGACCAAAACCGGTTGCAGGGTTGCACTATCCATAGATATATCTTATCCTTCCTTTCCCATTTATAATTAAAGGAGTTATTCTCCCTTAATGATGAGCCTCAAGATTCCTTTCTCAAAGCTTCACGGATCTGATCAATAACTACGAAAGAAAGTTTTCTAAAATATAATCGCAGAGTGAGTGGAAAGCATTTGATCTCACTCTATGATGTCGACCACTCAGACTTGGTGATAAAATTCCCATCAATATTTTACGGCAGTTTAATATACAAAAGCTACAAGCTGAGCTAACTTTTGTAACTCGCTGCGGAGCTTCTCAAACAAGTGAAGTGGGGAAAAAGAACTTTCCTAAAGCTACAGCAACTTTATAGGAAGCAGTTTCTTCTTCAAGCTCAAAGTGTCATGCTTTCCGGGTTCATGAGTTCATGTTAACTATAAGGCAGATTTTGTATAATTTCCACAAAAAAAAAAATAAATAAATAAATAAATAAATAACACTCGTATGTAATAAATCGGATATGACTACAGTATTTGATATAGGCATGGTGGATGTTGTGTGATTATCTTGTAGGAATAGCTTAGCTTGGTTAAGATTACTAACAAGAGCACTATAGCCTATATGTTGTATCAATTTTAACATAGAAAGATTCATATACATCCCTCTTAATTTCTATGCAATTAGAGTTTAGAATTTAAGATTTAGGGATTAGGAGTTAGTAGGCGTAGAGATTGCATGCCGGACAACGGTCCGGACAACAAGACCACATCTAAGCTGTTGTGCAAACGTATTGTCATCCCATCCGTACCTAATATTTTTTCATCTATATATATATATAGATGGGGATGTGCAGTCAGGCTCTCACCATCAGACTTCGATAAGGACGTACCTTAACTTTGCACAAATTGTGAAAACCTAATCTCAACGGAAATTTAAAGTTTTTTGATCAGACCTCAAAAGCATTTTTTTGACTGCTATAAAAATTGAGGATTTTTTAGGGATTATTTTCTTTTCTACAGGTTTTTTATTTTTATTTTTTAAAATTAATCAGCTTTTCCATTTAGTGTTTTTTATGATAAATTAATTTACACTTAATATTTTAAATATATTTTTAACTTCTCAAGCTACAAAAAAAAAAAATATACAATGAAAAATCATTAAAAATGATTTCAAATGGCTCTTAATTGATTTAAAGTCAAGTTTTGACCAGAACTAATGAATCTTAATTAATTAAATCGATCGGCGTTTGTAGAAATTGAGAAGGAATTGGTTAAGATATTCTGATCAGAATAGTTTTGCTAAAATCTAACACTTCCCCTTCGTCAAATCTTTGCCATCCTGTCCTGCTGCAATATACTTATTTGCAGAAGCGAACATGAACAAATTTAGTAATACCCCCAACTCATGCATAATCCCATGGACACCTACTCCCACCGGTCCTTTCCAATAAAAAAAATATTTTATCCGCTCGCCATGATCAGGAAGACCAACCACAAGATCACCGGGCGCCTCATCACCCACCGATAATCTGTATGACGGTGTGATGTCCGGAGTGTCTTGTGGAAGTTGTTCGGCAAACTCCGGACAAAACATTGATAATTAAAGACATTCCAAACCCCACACGCATACATCAAATACCAAATAATTGGAAACAGCCTAGAAATGGAGAGGGACATATCGATAAGAGAAACTTACAGCGTAGAGAATGGTAAAAACCTCAGTCCCAGAATGAAACACCCAAGCCCGAGCACTGCGCTCGACGAAAGCTGCTATAACTATAAACTGAATGACGCCAAAAAAACAAGTGTAGGAGGTAACCGACAACCTCGCCGGATATTTCTTAAGAACCGGAGCCTGAAGCACAAGCCACCCGGACCATGAAAGGCAGTGTCCCATTAAATAAACACATCCCAGTGTCCAGTTTTTGTCGGCCTTCGTCTCTCCCATTAAATTAGTTGCCGCCGATGAAAATGACATCGCTGAAGTTGCAGCAGCCGACAGCCCCGGCGGTGGGTGTGTCGACGGTGAGAAGATGGTCGGACCTTTGTACAGTGTTATCACCGTTGCGCCGGCTACGCAGGCTAGCGTGCCGATCACCTTCGCCATGCCGTCTCGCCGGTCCAATCTTAACTTCTCTATCCTGTCATGGTGAACGAGATAGAGAAGTTGTTCAATGTGTATATATAAGATTGTCGAATTTAACAATATATATCAAATTGCCGCTCTAGCATGATATCATTTTCCTTAAATAGTGAAATATATCGTATGGATATGATATTGGCTTCATAAATTTTCCAACGAGTTCTATTGATTTTGATATTTATTCTAAAACTTCATTCAGTGCAATCATTTTCTTCTTACAAAATAGTAAAAAATTTATTATTAAAATAGAAATATTTGATCATTTCATGATTATGCCTTAAAGTTGTTATTTGTTCTTACACCAATATATATATATATATATAGAGAGAGAGAGAATGAGAGAGAGAGAGAGAGAGAGAGATATATATATATATATATATCACAAAATATATTAATGGAACGAAGCACTAAATAAGAACAAACCTGAGGGCTACGGCCATGAGAAACGTGATGGCCGGAACCGAGTTCTGGATAGCGGAAGCAAACGTCGGAGAGGTGTTGTCCAGTCCCAAAAGATAAAATCCCTGGTTCGCTGTGATTCTTTTTTTTTTTTTTTTGCAAAACGAATTAAAAAAAAATTACAAACCAATAAATTTATTATGTATTTGCCAAGTCCCAATTACTTTTTTTTTAATTACTTACCCACAGAGCGAAAGGAGGAAGAATTGAACGAGGAAGGAGAGACTGATAGGAGGCCTATCCTTCCTGCAGACAATAAATCAAAAGATTATAATTAAGCTAGTTCTATAAACAAGAAAATAACATATATGTACTCTATTAAAATCAAATAATCAGACTATGTGTTTTATGTTCTCATATATAATTTACTTCTCAAGGAAGTAGGCGAAGGGCACGAGTAGTAACAGAGCGATGATGTTGCGGTAGACAGCGAAGACCAATTTACTAATGCCCATATTAAGCGCCGCACGGGACACGACATGGAATCCGGCGTAGCCGAACTGCAGCGCAAGCATGGCCGCGTGCAGTTGCACCTTCTCCGACACGCCGCAGATCCTCCTCGCAGCCGCCGTCTCCGCCATTATTTTGTTCCTACAGGTGGTGATTGAGAATAAGGAAGAAGAATGAGGAAGAGAAGAGATGGGATGACGTTGGGGCGAATTGTAATGGGACTGGGGGCCTCTAAATATGGTGAGGAGGGGGGAGGGGGGAGGAGGGAGAGTTGGTGAGAGTGACACTCGTAGTGATGGATCACTTTAGTGTGGAGTAGTCCCCACGAGCCTTCTCTTGTTTCTATAAATGATGTTATGTCACACGGCTACTGTGTTGCTGGTTGTCCCCCGCATTCTCGCTTTGGTGATCTCTCTCTTGTATTATAGGTATGGACGACGGGTGTAAAGGAGCTAGTCAGGCTGTCTCTGATTGAACTTTAAGATTAAAATTGCTGTAATTTAATTTAATGAGTTTAATTGACACTATCAAAATATTATTTGATGAAATCTAAAGTTTTTTAAAATTTGTTTCAAGAAATTTGAGGTACTTGTTTTAAGAAGTTTATGATCGCAATGAGCATTTTGGTAAAACGAAGTTTAATGAAAGTTGGAAGTTTCAATTTGAGTTCAAATGAAGCAAAATCAAATATTTTTAAATATAATTGAAAATTTTAGTTATCGTTACTAGTAATTATCCGTTTCATTTAACTGTTATTATCTAATAACCATCAACCAATTCATTGTCATCATGCAATCGCTATATGAGGGTATATGAACTTCATTGCCTTCTCTAATTATGAGAGAGAGCACAATTCTAAAGGATTGCTTATATAGTGAATTATTTTGATTAGAGCAAGTCCTACAATTTTTCTTAAAATATTTCATACCTAAAAATTTAAGTATATTTTTATAATTATTTGTTTTATATGTGTGGAGGATATTCATGCGAACTTAAAATTTAATATTTTTTTCATTTATGTAACTATATTGGCATGCAATAACTCCTAAAATGTAATATATTAGCATGCAATAACTCTTAATAGTGTTGTGTGCCAGTAAATTCCTGAATGTAGAGTGATATATTAACATTTTAGTATTGCACAAAAATTGAACAAATGCATAGATAAGAGAAGAGCTGATAGAGATGATAACATGAGCTATTAAGCATAAATCTCACAAGGGTAAAACTACTAGGCTTAGCCTAGTTGAAATAGTTCCACTATGCTAATGTAGGTTACAAGATTTTACTAGCGCTTGACTAGCTGAAAGCAAATCCAACATGCAATAACTTTTAATAATGTAATATATTAGCATGCCAAAACTTTTTTAATAGTGTTGTGTGCCAGTAAATCCATGGTTGTAGAGTGATATATTAACATTTTAGTATTGCATAAAAATTCAACACATGCATAGATAAAAGAAGAGCTGATAGAGAGGATAACATGAGTTATTAAGTGGAAACCTCAAAAGGGTAGAACTATCAGGCCTAGCCTAGTTGAAATAGATCCACTATGCTAATGTAGGTTACAAGACTTGACCAACCCTGGACTAGTTGGAAACAATATTACAAAAGTGAGGGTTATCAATATGACGTCCATTAAAGGAGTTGGATGCTTTGTTGGCCATTTAGTGATTGTCACATATTCTACAAAGCTTAGAGGAATTTCCCACAAAAAGTACCAACTATTGCAAGCTAGTAAATATGTGATGATAGAGTGATATATTAACATCATAGAGTTGTACAAAAATTAGACACACATACAGATAAAAGAAGAGCTGATAAAGCAAATAACATGATTTCTTATGTGGAAAACCCAAAATGTTAAAACCTATAGGACCTAGCCCAGTTGCAATGGTTGCACTGTGACGATGTATGCTATCAGACCTTACTGACACTTGACTAGCCAATTTCAACATTACATAAGTGGGGTTATTGATATGAATTCTGCCAGGGGAGTTATGGAAAATGTTAGAGAAGTGGTGGAGACCTAGCTTCTATGAAGGAGGACTGACAATAGAGGTTTAGTGCCATAAAATTTAATTTCATTGTCATTAGTAGCAGTGGTAGTCTGATGGTGGTGATGGTGTAGTCAAACATCAGAGGTCCATTGGAGGTGATGGTAATGGTTCAACGATAATCGTAGTGGAGGCCAGACAGTGGTGGTGACAACCTTACAGTTGTTGTCTGGTGACTCGATGGTGGTGGTCAAACAACAGTGGCATGATAGTGGTAACTGCTAGATAGTGATAGTGCAATGTTGGCAATAGTGGTCCTGGTCGAACAATATTGGTTTGTTGGTGGAGGCGGCTTGACGGTGATGGTCAGGCAGTGGTGGTCTGACAGCAACGACGACTAAACGACAGTGGTGGGGTAACGATGGCTCGACGGTGGCGGTGGTTTGACAGCGGTGGTCTGGAAGCGATGGTCCGATGATGGAGATGATTTGACGACAATAGTCCGTTGGCTTGATGGCACTAGCGGTCAAGCAACGATGGTGTGATGGTGATCGAACAACAATAGTGGTGAACATACGACGGTGGCCTCAAGCTAAGGTATATCTCAGAAATTAATCCTCAAGAACTTGGAGACCCTTTATCTTTTTCCTTTTGGTCTCGCGCCAACAAACGAAAAACGTAAAGATCTATTTATAAGTTTTGGGAGTTACAAATTTCGTAAATATTGCATGAATTTGGTCCAAGTCCCTCCCTTTATCTGATATAATGAGTATTTGAATGCATTAAATGATGTTAGAATTAATTGATCTTAGACTTTTTGGATTTGACTTGTCGAGACACTTGATTTGACTATAAACTTGTCGTATTTGAAGATCATTTGGTCTCTCAAAATATGTTCTAAAGCTTCACTTTATGCTTCAAGTGCATGATATGTTTTCATTTGGGTTCAAATTGGATCATTTTTTATGTCATTTGGTTTGTCTCACCGAGAAAATTAATGTGATGATAAATTGGAGTTTTGTAGGTATTTCCAAATTTGAATTTTGAAGCTTCCAGTCTAAATGTGCATCGAGATTCATGCAGATCAATATGATTTTTAACAGATGTATCAACTATAGTATAATATTTAAGAAAAACAATTCAAGAGCTAACGTGTTTGAAACATGAACTTGTTAGCGTATCAGGCTATGCTTGGAGTCGCGCACTTCAACAAACAATTATATTAGTAACATTTCTCATATAAAATGAATTATTATGAAATGTTAAAACATTATGTATTTGAATGTATTATATATTTATGATTTTGTAAGTATATATCAGGTTGGCATTAATATTATACGACTAAGATATACTTTTCTCTATGCAAATAATATTTTTTGTATTTATAAAACGATCAAATCTATTTTATTTTCTTGCCACATATTTAATATGAGGAACATGATGTATAATATTGTGACAATATCATTTTTTATATGATGTTAAATTTCGAGCTATTTTATAAAACTAAATCACTTAAGATGAGCAATGTGGGGGGCAGATCCATATGAGCTAAAGATTATCGATGTGATTATTTTTAAAAATACATCTAGAATAAATTTCATAGATTTAATTTCAAAATAATATATGTAATTAATAATTTTAAACACGCATCATAAATCATATTAATTTAAAACTATATGTAGATCAACTTTGTATCAGTTTTGATGCGTTCCAGAAAATTCGTGGCGCTAGAGTAATGGATTATTGTCTTAGCTTTGCACGAGTATTCAACACACACTCAGATGAAAGAGAATCAACCTGTGGTGACATCAGAAGTTTTACGTGCAAAACCCGTAAAAGGAAAAAACCACGGGGTCTGGCTCAGTTATAAGAATTTCACTATAAGTTGATGATTACAGAGGATCCTTGTCCCACAGACGGAAAAAGGGTAACAAGATTTTTCAAGATACAATATCGACTGACAACGTCTGGTTAGCGATGGTCGATGACATTTGATGACGGTCGACGGAGGTCAGCGACGATCGGCGGTGGTTGACAGCAACCGGCGGTAATCGACAGAGGTCAGCGGTGGTCGTTGACCGTCAATGATGGTCGGTGGTGATCGATGACGGTCGACGGTGATCGATGGAGGTCAGCAGTGATCGATGGTGATCGACGGCGACTGGTCATGGTCGACGGTGGTTGCTGACGGTCGGTGGCGGTCGAAGTGGTAGACGGTGGTCGACGTCGATCGAAGATGGCAGAAATGATGTTGGACTTGAACTTCTTCTCAAAGCCTCAAGTTCTCTCTCAAGTCTCCTCCCTTCATGTGAGGGGTGAGACTCTATTTATAGTGTTTTGAGTGCTATTAATACAAGAATATGAACCATTTTGATCGGACGGTCCGGAGAGCTTCCCTTGATCAGATGACGTTTGATGGACATTTGAGTGTCTTAACAATGTCAGAATCGAGCAATATTGGCTCGTTGGGTTCATCTTGGCAAGATGCACGATTCGGCCC